GTAATTCAAAGCGATACTCGTGGTGATTTAGCGTAGAGATCATCTATAATATGTCTTTTATTTCACAGAAGCTTTAGTTCTCGGAAAATAACTCGAGCAAGCAACGTTACAAATCGTTCTGTTAGGATGTCTAGACGGGAATCAAATCCAAAAGCCCAACAGTTTTTCCATCAAATCGCATCGCCAGCCGCATATTTTCACATCAAATCATTGACTTTTTCCACTCACCTATTTTCCCTCCGACCGCGAAAAATGTCGCCAAAATGCCTACCAAGAGAAGTGCGAAAGCCAACAATTGTCGCAAACTCAATGTTTCCAAGATAACAGCCATCTTTGAACAACAGAAATCTTCGTCACACTAAAATCGAGCTCTGAAATTAATCACATTGACTGTAGCTCGCCAGTTTTAAGAACTCTGGTTACCGCTTAAGCCAATCACAGAGCGGACGCTTATTAAATTCACGCCCTACGGGGTCTGGCTAAAAACAACACTCTTTTTGAAATGGAATTACATAAAGTGTTCACTTTCTTTTGAAAGCGGGAAAGATTTAGCACATTCTTTCACATAGAACTTTGAAGAATCTCCGACGTGACGCATCAGCCAATTTCCTGCCGGCGCGCGATTGTGGATTTTAAATAATTTCCTTTCGAAGCTCTGACTTTGCCGACGAAGTTATTGGACTTATTATTGATATGAAATTTTCATAATTGTCATTATTAAGTAATTTGGATTGGATTGATTGTCTGATCAAACCACGACAACAACCAAAGTTATTTTTTTCCCCATGCGCCTTCCATTTCAAGGGCGTTGGTTGGCGTAGCTTTTTTTTGAAGTATCGGTCGTCCTGAAGGGTCCTGAAGATGTCGGCGTAATTCTGCGTAATTCCGCCGCGCGCATTTGATGTTTTGTTCTTTTTTGACAAAGAGGTAAAACTCCTCTTCAAAATGGATACTCTGAAAAACATTTCCTTAGTCTTAAGTAAGATTCGTTCTTTACTGCAAACTGGACAAGACCCGCAAACTTCAGCATCAGCGGCACTGTAGCCTGGCTCTATGGCGGGCAAGGGCAGTATCGAACGACGATTGTGAAANGGTATTACTCGTTGTGCGGAACGCTTGTGGTTTAAGCGTCGATTTTGACTTTAACATTAGCGGTTAGCGTTCATATATTGTTAGGGCGGCTTGGACAATAGGGAACTTATAAACCCACAGAACGGTCACCTTAGAAAAAGCCCGCCACAAGTTTGGCTTCAAGGCTGCTTGTGGAAGGAAAAATTGATCTGATCAGTGCCAAATTTGGCACGGTCAAATGAACCTCAGACTGTTTTATGTGATATTAAACGAAACGGGTCAGGCTTAC